GAAGTTCTGAGGAAGGGTCACCAGACCCAAAACGTTAACTCTGATTTTTTTCTCCACAGATGCTTCCAGACCTGCTGAGCTTTTCCAGCAACTTCTATTTAAGATCCTCTTAGTATCTGCTTATTAAGTCCCTTAATGATTTTAGGACAAAGCAAGAACTGCAGATGCTGGAGTTAGAGTTGATACAGTGTGTAACTGGAGGAACACAGCAGGTCAGGCAGCATCAGAGGACATGGAAAGTTGACTTTCAGGCCTAGACCCTCCATCAGGACTGGGGGCTTTCTGTGTTGCTCCACCTCAACACTTAATGATTTTATATGCTTTAATGAGAGAAGATAGTGGTGTAGGAATAATGTCACAATTTGTAATCCCAAGCCCAGGCTAATTTTTCAAGTTCAAATTCCATGAAAACTGGCAGAATTTGAATTCAAGTGTTAAATTTCAAAGTTGAGAGCTAGTTCTCGTACTGGTCATCATGAAATGATCAACTGTCATGAAAACCCAACTGGCTCACTAATGTCCATAAAGTAGGAAACCTACAATTTTATACCTGGTCTCACTTACAGACTGATAGCAACATAATCGGATCTTAACAGCCCACTGATTAGGGACGGACAACAAATTCTGATCTTGTAACAGTTTCAAACAAAGAAAGAATAAATCAAAATCTTTTCCTATTCTTCTATTGCGAATTCTACACAATCTTCACAACTGATGTTTATAACATTTCAGGTTGAAAATATAATCTCTAATTGTGTTTCTTGGCCACTTCTAGGTGTCTATTTTAAAATTTGGTGCCCAAGGAGCAGTTGAATTAATTAATTAATTACTTGTCTACTTTTTCTCAACAAAACAGCACGAAGTTCGAATTTCTTCACTTACATCAAAAAGAATATAATTCTCTTGAATATTGCGACTGATTTGCAGTTGAAACTCCAAATCAAACCAAGATTCCTCAAAACGTGCACTAACAGGTTCATTCTGCTAACTGAAGTAAGGCTGACCGTTTTTTAAAAAAAAGGTACTCTTAGAAAAGACTGCCAATAAACGTTGGGAATCTCTACAATGAACCGTTATTGTGAGATGACTTGTTTTTAAAAACTTGCTAGATTCACTGCTTAACAAGTTAAATGCTAACTAAAAACAATGTCCCCTTCTACAAAACGGTGAAAAACAAACTTTTAATGAGGATCCATCAGCTTCCTTACAATGGACATATATAATATAAAAACTTTACACGTCTTACATGGCGAAGGGGCGGTTATATTTAGTGCTTTGACCCCTATGTTTCATGTACTTCCTGGCGCGCTCTCTTCAGCTTCCCTTCCAGCCCCTAACACACGCACACACAGAGTGAGAGAGAACCAAAGGCGCCTCACCTCGTCTACTGTCCGCTTCGGAAGGTGCAGGATCCCCAACAGCAGTTTCAGCTTCACTGCCGATGATAAGCCGTGAAAACACACTCGGATGTTGTCCACAACGTCCTTAGTTAGCAAGGAGGCGATGCTGGGAGGCGCCCAGAGCTCATCGGCTGAGCCGAGTTTGTTGTGTAGCCACAAACCTGTGTCGCTCTCCCGCATGGACGCCATCTTGAAGAAGGAGATTTGAATGGACGGGCATTAACCGGGACGACGAGAGCCTTTGCTGCGGGCCCCGCCTTCTTGCCACAGGACCACGCCCCCTCGCCGCTAGGCTGCAATTCACCCACACTGCAGCCACGCCCGCATCCATGCCCCACCCCCACGCCCGTTAGGAGAGCCAACCAGCAAGCGAGCTGCTATAGTTTCAGTCAGTCAATATGATTGACGCGCTGGGGTCCCGCCTCTGTGGTCGGTCCGATTCACCTATTGGTTAAATCTCACGTCGATCACATTGATGACCGCCCCTCACCAACCGTTGTTCGTCTGATCGGATTGAGGTGGAGCGGTTTGGGCTGGTCGAGTGGTTTTAAATTTGAAGTCTTTGTTTCGGTTTTTTTAAACTTAGATCGGTCCTGAGAGTGATTTGTTTCCGTTTAATAAAAAAAATTGTTAAAAGAGCAGTTTATCGATAGATAATTGAAAATAACGCTGATTTTTGTTTCCCGGCCCCTCCCCATCTCAAACAGGGTCGCTGCCGCCGCGATGATGGCTGTTCCTTCGCTCTGTGTCTTCGTTTTGCTCGCTGCCGGATTGATAGCTGAAGCTAACGGCGAGTCCGGGACCGTGATCCCGGCTGAAAGTAAGTTCCCACTTCCTCCGCCCCTGTCCAAGTTCGTTTTTTTTCTTACACAGCATCACAAATTGTATCTTCTCGGGGAGGGTTTGCTAACTGTACCGGATTGCCGGGAACCTCTAGGAGGCTGCTGAGAGCAAAACCAGATAAAGGCACTTACTGGTGTAAAAAAAAACGTCTTTGTTAAATAGCCTTTGCATAATATGTATATTAAAATTGAGGGCACGGAGTTGTGGGGGAAAACGATAAAACCTGTATAACTTAATGATCAAAACTCACCTAATTAACAAATCGGTTGGTTGATTTTGTTCCCCAGTTGTTATGGTGAGGGGCATATGCTACATGTGTTGGGTAACCAGTGGTAGGAAGATGTATGACTCTTAATTTCAGCCTAGCCAAAGTTAGTCATTTTAAAAGTGGTTATTGTACAGGTATTGAATCTGCAGTTTGGAAACTTCGTAATCCCAGGATGGCAGTTTGAAAAGTTGGATTCAGATAAACAAAAGTCTAGAATTTAAATTGGTAGTGAAAGTGACAATGAGGCTGTCCAATTGTCAAACACATCCATCGATGTACCTTGGAGAAGGAAATCCTGTTTGTCCTTCTATCAAGCCTCAGCAGCATTCAATAGATAACTAGGGATGACTCCAGCCAGCAAGGCCTACATTCCAAGAATTAATTTTAAGAACTTCTGTTAAAAGTTTTGCTTCCAAAAAACTTTCCTTTCTGGTATTGTATTCAACAAGGCTGAGTCAAAAAATACAGAGGTATGGATACCATGCCAGTTAGCTTAATATTTTGCCTAATTATCTTGAGTTTTTTGAAGTCAGCAGGGTTTTGTGGAAAAAGTAATGTTTTAAGTGATATGCTGTGGGTAAAGAGAAACCAATTGCTGTACTCTGAATAAATTCCAAGAGGCATTTGATGAGATGGTACATAAAAGGCTTTTGTGGAAACTAAAAGCACACAATGTAGGGTGTAATAGGCTAACAGGAAATAGTAGGAGTAAATGGGTCGTTTTCTAGTTAACAATATTTAGTGAGCGGTGTGCCACAGGGATCAGTGCCAGCGGTCTCCTGTTTTTGTATTTGTTTAAATGACTTGGATGAAGGTTCCAAAGATAGAGTTGCTAACTTTGCTCATGAACCCAAAGATAGGTAGGGAAGTAAGTCGTGAAGAGACTTGCAGGAGAGATGAATATAGAGCAAGTAATTAGGAAAGTTAATTAAATGTTACTTATTACGTGGAAGATGAAATACAAAATAGAGAGGTTATACTTTAGCTGTACAAGTAAATAGTGAGACCACACTTAGAACACTGTCCCATATTAATCTCCTTATTTAAGGGTGGATGCAAATGTCCTGGAGACATTTCAGAGAAGGTTTACTAGTTTAATCCCTGGATCAGGACAGTCGTATTCAGGAAAGGTTGGACAGGCTATGCTTGTATTCACTGGAGCTTATAAGAGTACGAGGTGACTTGATTGAAGCATATAGAATGCTGAGGGGTCTTGACAAGATGAATGTGGAAAGGATGGTTCCTCTGCATCTGTGGGTTACTAATCTAAAATAAGGAGTTGTCCATTTAGGACGAATGAGTTTGTTTTCTCTCAGGTGAATCTTTGCAACTCTTCTCAAAACTAGTGGAAGCAGAGTCTTTCAAACATTTTTATTGTAGAAGTACCAAAGGGTCTGCTTCCCTGCTGTATAACTATATAGTTCCATGTCTCTAGGTAGATTGTTGATAAGCAATCAGATGCAGGGTTATTAGGGTATGTGGAAAAGTAAAACTATCAGATTGCTTGTGATTTTATGGTGGAGTAGGTTTGAGGAGCTGAGACTCCTGCTGTATCAAGTGACACATGCAAAGAAATAATCTGCTCAATAGAACATAGGAACACGAATAGGACATTCGGCCCCTTAACCATGTTCCACCATTCATTGAGATTACAGCTGATCTGTGGCCTAACTCCATATACCTGCCTTTGGCCCATATCTCTCAATACTTTCACTCAACAAAAATGTATCTATCTCAAATTTAAAACCAGCAACTGATCCAGCATCCTCTGCCATGTGTTGAAGATAGTTCCAAACGTCTACAGTCGGTTCTGCTATAACGCGAATTGGCTATAACACGACTGACAAATAGGGGAACACTGGTTCTTAAACTTGTGTTGGCTATAATGTGATTCCATTGGTGGGCAGAGGAGTAAGCCATCGCCATCACACGATCGTTTCATGGGCTTTGTTCTCAGCATGCTGTCAGAGGAGCTCTCAAGGATCAAAGAACGTTGTGTTGATCTTGCAAAGCTAGTTGGATCTGAAGAAGTGGAGAGCGAGGATGTTGAAGAGCTGCTTGAGTCCCACTGTGAAGACCTCTCTACAGCTGATCTACAACAACTTGTCGCTGAGGGGGAAGTGGAAGCGGAAGATGAAGTCCAGGATGCAGCACCATGAGCTTTCCACTTCTGTTTTGTCTTCTATCCTGAGGGAAATTGATAAGCAGTTGTAGCTCTTAGAGCACAACGATTACAATGTGGAACACAGCAGGGTAGCAGTTCGTGGAATAAGATCTTATTTGGCACCGTGTGAACAGCTTCTTCGTGAAAGAAGGAGAAGGGCAAAGCAGCAAAAACTGAATGTTTCTTGGGGGTTGGCTTGAAAAAAGACAGAAGACAATGAACCACAGCCATCCACTTCTCAATCCCTAACCCTGCAATCACAACTGCATCCGAAGCAGGTGATGATGATGACGACAACAACCCTCAGCCCCAGCATTAACAACAGAGCAACCTCAAAACACCTCCACCCATCAAGTCATCTTGACACTTATTCAAGGTAAGGTGTTAAATTTACTTTTATTTCATTATTAGGTATGAATTAAACATTTATTCAAACTGTGTTGACTTTGAGAGATAGTATCCTTTGTTAGGCTTTTGAGTGATTTTTCTTTTTGGTGGTATGCCCCTAGCCTTGCTTTTCCCATTGGCCGCATTATATCTATGGCACAGTTTTCTATAACACAATGTTGTGCAGGAACGCAACTATCACGTTATAGCAGAACTGACTGTATAACCCTTTGAATGTTGAACTGTTTCATTGCACTGCTCCTGAACAATCTCGCCCTAATTCTCAGATTATACCTCTTAGTTCTAGAATCCCCAACCAGTGGAAATAGTTTATCCCTATCTACCTTGACTGTTCCTGTTGATATCTTGAAGACTTTGATCAGATCACCCTTTTAGCCTTCTAAATTCTGGAGAAAAAGTGGTGAGGAGCTGGGTTCAGTTGCATGAAAAACTTATGGAAAAATTTAAAGGGGAGGAGGGCTCAGGAGAGGTTAAGGTTTCCAGAATAAGTAATAGGGCAGAGAGTAGGGAAAGGATGCAGGATTAAGGTTATTGCACTTAAATATGCGCAACATACAGAACAAGATAAACGAGCTTGTGGTGCAAATTAAAATTGGCAGATACGATGTTATGGCATAACAGACATGACTGCAAAAGGATCAGGGCATGGAACTAAATATCTCAGGATACATGTCCTAATGATAGGACAGGCATATGCAGAGGGATTTGAGGCTGCCTTGTTATTAAGAAATGAAATTAAATCAATAGCAAAAAGCAATATGGGTTTGGGAGGCATAGAATCTGTGTGGGTAGAGTTGAGGAGCCGTAAAGGAAAGAAGACGGTGATGGTAGTTATGTACAGGACCCCTAGCAGGAGTCAAGATGGGGAGCAGGAAATAGGAGACAGAAAAGGCGTGTAAGAAAAGGACAGCATAAAAGCAAAAGAAAAAGCATACCATGTGGTGAAGATTAGTGCGAAGCCTGAGGATTGGAAAGCCTGTAAAAACCAGAAGCAATATGGGTGGGAGAAGATGAAATATCAGGATGAGCTAACCAGTAATATGCAAGAAGATTCCAAGATCTTTTTTCTAAGATAAGCAGTAAAGGAAAGGCAAGAGTGGACATTGGACTGCTGGAAAATGAGTTTGGGAACGTAGTAATTGGGAACAAAGCAATGGTGGAGGAACTGAATAGATATTTTACATCAGTTTTCATGGTGGAAGGCACCAGTATCATACCAGAACGGGCAGAAGTTATCATCTAAGGAAAAGTTGAAAGGTCTAAAGGTTGGACCAGATGGATTACACCTAACGGTTCTGAAGGAGATAGCTGAGAGATTATGGAGGTATTGGTGATTTTCAGGAATTGCTGGAGTCAAGGAGGGTTCCAGAGGACTGGGAAAATGGCTAATGTAACACCCTGTTTAAGAAGGGAGTAAATCAAGACAGGAAATCATAGGCTGGTTGGTCTGACCTCTGATATTGGTAAGATTTTAGAGCTCATTATTAAGGATAAGATTGCTGAGTACTTGGAAGTGTGTGTAAAATAGTGCTGAGTCAGCATGGCTTCTTCAAGGGGAGGTCATGACTGACAAATCTGTTAAAATTCTTTGAGGAGGTAACAAGCAAGTTAGACAAAAGAGAACCAGTGGATGTGATTTATTTGAATTTCTAGAAGGTTTTTGACAAGTGGCACACAGGAGGTTAATATGATAAGAGCCCATGGTGTTAGGGACAGTGTACTAGCATGGATAGAGGAATGGCTGACTGGCAGAAGGCAGAGAGTTGGAATAAAGGGGCATTTTTCAAGATGGCAGTCAGTAGATAGTGAAGTTCTGCAGGAGCCAGTGTTGGGACCACAACTATTCACATTATACATTAATGATCTAGATGAAAGACCTGATGGCATTGTTGCTAAGTTTGCAGGTGACTCAAAGATAGGTGGACAGACAGGTAATATTCGGTAAGCAAGAAGGTTACAGAAGGATTTGGACAAGCTAAAAGAGCGAAAAGAAGTGGCAGATGGAATACAATATGGGAAAGTGAGGTTATGCATCTAAGTAGGAAGAATAGATGCATAGACTATTTTCTTAATGGGAAAGGCTTTGGAAATCTGAAGCACAAAGGGACTTGGGAATCCTAGTTCAGATTCTTTGAGGTTAACATGCATGTTCAGTTGGCAGTTATGAAGGCATGTTAACATTCATTTTGAGAGGACTGGATACAGGAGCAGGGATGTACTACTGAGGCTGTATAAGCCTCTGGTCTGTGTTTGGAATACTGTGAGCAGTTTTGGGCCCCATATCTGAGGAAGGATGTGCTGGCGTTGGTCAGAATCCAGAGGAGATTTACAAAAATGATCTTGGAGTGAAGGAGGAGCAGATGAGAGCTCTGGGTCTGTACTCAATGGATTTTGAAAGGATGAGTGGGAATCTCATTGGAACTTCAAGAATACTGAGATGCCTGGCTAACATGGACGTGGAGAAATGGAAAGCTGTTGTAGTGCTGCATCCTCAACTTCATCTTCTGCTTCCACTTCCCCCTCAGCGACAAGTTGTTGTAGATCAGCTGTAGAGAGGTCTTCACAATGGGACTCAAGCAGCTCTTCAACATCCTTGCTCTCCACTTCTTCAGATCCAACTAGCTTTGCAAGATCAACACAATGTTCTTTGATCCTCGAGAGCTCCTCTGACGGCATGCTGAGAACAAAGCCCATGAAACGATCGTGTGATGTCAATGGCTTACTATTCTGCCCACCAATGGAATCACATTATAGCCAACACAAGTTTGTGTTTTAGAACCAGTGTTCCCTATTTGTCAGTCGTGTTATAGCCAATTCGTGTTATAGCAGAACCGACTGTAGACGTTTGGAACTATCTTCAACATATGGCAGAGGATGCTGGATCAGTTGCTGGTTTTAAATTTGAGATAGATACACTTTTTTGTTGAGTGAAAGTATTGAGAGATATGGGCCAAAGGCAGGTATATAGGAGAGACTGAAATTCGAGGGTACAGCCTCAGAGTGAAGTGACAACCCTCTAGAACTGAGTTGAGGAATTTCTTCAGCAGGAGGATGGTACATCTGTGGAACTCATTACCACAGAAGGCTATAGAGGCTAAGTCATTGAGATCTATTTAAAACAGAGATAGATGGGTTCTTGATTAGTAAAGGAATTGAAAATTATGGGGAGAAGGCAGGGTAATGGGGTTGGGAAACATATACGCTGTGATGAAGCAGGCCGGTGGGCTAAGTGGCCTAATGCTGTTCCTATATTTTATGGTCTTAAATAAATAACATTAGGCTGAAGCTGGGGTACTGTGCGTGCACTTGTGGTCATCACACTATGGAAAGGGTGCGATCGCATTAGAAGAGGTGCAGAGGGGATTCACCAAGATGTTGCTTGGGCTGGAGTGATTCAGCTATGAAGTGAGAAGCTGAGAGGGGTTCTTATTGAGGTATATAAAGCTCCTAGGGTAAATAGAGAAACATTCCAGAGATTTCTGGAACTCCCTGCTGAAAATGGAGCTAGATTTGAGTACCCTCAAGACGTTTAAGAACTATTTCGATGATCACTTGGCATGCCGTAGTGTACAAGACCATTGACCAAGTGCTGGAAAACAGGATTAGGATAGATGAATTTTGATGATCTGTATGGACAAAATGGGCCAAAAGGTTGCAATGAGGCCCCCCCACAAACGAGAGGAGCAGCACTTCCTATTCTGCCTCGTTAGCCTACAGCACAATGGCCTAATCATGGATTTTACCAGTTTCAAAATCTACCCACTCCCTGCTGCATCCCATGACCAACCCTCCCTTCCATCCCTACCTCCTTGACCTAACACAACCTGTCCATCTTCCCCACTTACCCGCCCCTCCCACCTCACTGACCAATCCCCACCACTCCCTACCTGCACTTGCCTATCACTTTCCACAGCCCCACCCCTCCTCTCTCTATTTACTTCTGAGCTCCCTTTCTCCCCTCCCCATTTCTGAAGAAGGGTCCCGACCTGAAACGTCAACTTCCCTGCACCACTGATGCTGCCTGACCTGCTGTGTTTCTCCAGCTCCACATTTTGTTAGCTCTGACTCCAGCATTTGCAGTTCTTACGATCTCCAAAAGGCCTCTTTCTGTGTTGTAAAAGCTCCGAGTCTGACTGCAATGCTGAGTTGGAGTGAAATGAATTACTCAGAGATGGCTTCAAGTGACTTGATTATCAAGTAGTTGATATTTATTCAATTTAAACCCTTGAAATAACCCAATTTATTTATTTATATATATTCCCATCAGCTTGACCTGAGAATTCTGACAATTGATTTACAAGATTGTATCCTCAGATTGGAAGTACGAATAAGAAAATGTGGATTGAACCCCTTTTATATTTTGCATATGAGCTTTCCTGGTCTGAGTTGCGTTTTTCAATCTGATTGTGCTTATCCTAATTTTTGAAGCAACAGTACACATTAGTATTGGCTGTAGTCATCTGGAAAGTAGTTAGATTAAGGTGTAGTATTTGTTTTCTGATTTGAAAAGCATTGTACTTGGATTATTACCACTGAAATGCTCAAAATAAATGGCTGGAGGAGGGTGGATTTGGCCGAATTGCCTGGGAAGAATTCAATGACAAGTGACCAATCAGAAAAGTCACCCCATAGCTGAAACAACGAATGCTCCTCATAGTGAACTTAGCAGCAAACATAGGAAGGAGCAGCCTCTGGGGAAGCAACAAGAGTGCTGACAGCAGGAGGAAGTCTGAGGTCAAATCAGTGCTGGAAGAATTGGCCAGGTGAAGCAGGACCACTGGTAGAGTGGTGAAACAGAGCCAGAACAGCCAAAGGACAGGTGAGATGTGAGGCTGTGGAGCCTGGGGAGTCAGGCAGGGGTGAAGTGAATTTGCAAATGGAGAAGAATTGCAAGTAGGATGAAGAGCTGCAAAGATTAGATAGGAGCTGTACACTGGAGAGAGGGGTTGGCAGAAGAGGGGGTGCAAAGTTAGTGAGAATAAAATAGAACCCCAAAAGGTAGCCCTCAAAAATCTCAATGGGGTCCTTCTAAAATATTTTGATCCCTGAATTACTACTGTAAATATCCAGTGGCAGTGTTTATGATAAATGTCAGTCATAAGATTTTATTAACTGCCTAGAGCTCATTCTGGCTGTTTTAATGTTTTTTCCAAAGGTCGTCCCTGTGTTGACTGTCATGCGTTTGAATTTATGCAGAGAGCATTACAAGACTTGAAAAGGACTGCAAATAACCTAAACACCAGGGTAAATGTGTATTGTTCACTATAACTAGTTGATAAAATAAATCAAAGCAGAACAAGTTAGAACATTTTATTGCTGAGAGCTATATGAAATTTATTAATGATTTAAATTTACAAGCAAAAGTGTTTGGCTTGTAGGTAAGTACAAGTATTGCTGTAACTAAGAATATATGGCTTAACCTTTAGAGGTAGTGAAATGTATGATACATTGCATTAACACTACGCAAATTGATAGATAACTTTTGCAGCATATCTCCATTAAATCATCTGAATTACCATTTGGGGTTGCTGTTGGAATAACAAAACGGGTGAGGAAAACATTTCTTTCACCATGTAAAACATTATTTAGCACATTGTCATGGGCATATTTGATGGATAATCATAGGGCCAAATCACCTTAATTGCTGTTGTTGCTATTGCTTATCCCATTCCTGCTAGGAAGAGATCTGCTGCCATGTTACTCCACTCTCATCTATCTTGTGTCATCCTCACTCATCCACTGTAGTTCATCTGCAACCAAACTTGACATCTGTCATCCAACTATCCTAGATTGACCCCTCATTCTGCTGCCCTTCAGTTTTCTTAGAGGAGACATTGCTGCAGCTTTTGACCTCTGATTTAATGACCCACACTGATGTTTTCTGGATGTCATTTTTAGAGTCTTTTTTGCTGTTGTAATTCAAAGTACCTCATCATTTTGTCTTATAATTTGCATGTAGAATTTATAGACTATCTTAGCATCTACAAATTTTATTTCTTTCCGGAGATCTTTACTTAAACATGAAATAGTCATGGTGGATGCTCAACTGGACTCTGCTTGATCATTGCGTTCTCCAGCTATTCAGCAGCATTCATAGCTAATGTTAAGGATCCACTTGAATAGATATTCATATTTATGTTTGAGGACGATTCACCTCGTTTTGATTTGTACCTTTTTAAAAGACTAATCACAGGATCAGGATCAGAATCACAACTATTATGGTGCAGAAGGAGGCCATTCAGCCCATCATGCCTGCGATGGTTCTGTTATCTAGTGCCAATCTCCTTTTTTTCCCACATATCCCTGCATACCATTTCTATGCAAAAAAAAAAATCCAATGCCCTCTTGAATACCTTAGTTTTTGAATATACCTCCACCACATTCCCAAACAGTGTATTCCATACCCTAACAACTCACCTGTATGGAAAAGTTCCTTTCTGACATCACCCTTGCTTCATTTGCACATCACTTTAAACCTATGCTCTCTTGTTCTAGTTTCTTTTACAAGCAGAAACCGCTTCACTCTATCTATTCCATGCAGCTCACTAATGATTTTGAAAACCTCAATCAGATCTCCTCTTGGCCTTCTTTCCATGGAGAACAGTCCAACTTTTTCAGTCTCTAATTATAGCTAAAGTTCCTCATATCTGGTACTATTCTAGTAAATGCCATTCTAGTAAATTGCTTCTGCATTCTCTCCAATGTGTTTGCATCTTTCCAACAATGTGTCACCTACAGCCATACGCAGTACTTTAGCTGAGGTCTAACAAGTGTCTTGTACAAGTTCAACATTCACCTCTTTGCTCTTGTACTCTGTCCATATTAATAAAACCAAGAACATTGTATGCTTTATTTCCTGTCTTCTCCACCTGTCCTGCCACTTCGATGATCTGTGTACTTTGACTAAGATTGTAAATTATGTTAGTATTTTTTTTTTGATGCAATGCAGAAATCTGAAGTACTTTCAGCTGTATTTTAAATATTTCTTTAATCTTTTAAATACTCTAAATTATTTTTGTGCATATTAGAAATTGTGATGGCTGCATACGACATAATTCAAACTTGCTGATTACTTGGGACTACAGTCAAATTGTAACAAGGAGATATAGATTATTTTTTAAGAGGAAAGGGCAGTTGAATATTAGATGTGTTTGTAAGATTTTGAAAGATCATTGCATACCATTTTGATTATATATTTGATTACAGACTGATGACCTGCTGCTGAGAGTGGAAAAGCAGGCATTATGTGACTGTCTGCCTTCAAACCTGTTAGCCTGATGTATCAGAGATGGGCAGTGACAATGTATATTCCTGTGCATCATGTGACCCACAAATGAAATATGTCTCAAACGATTGAGATGAGCTAAATATTCACAGTGAAATATTAAATATGTTTCAGAGACCTTTTTCAAAAAAAGGCAAATAAAACTATTTGATTCCTGAAGGCACTGTTCTTTGAATTCTCTTGCTATTCCTGTCTTCAGGTGTCCCCTGAAAGTCACTTTTCTTTCACTATCTTTTTTGTTTCTCCCTTTCCCTTCAATTAATATTTCCAAATCTACTCAACCTGTCTGTCTCTGTTGCCAAATAGTTTGAAATGTTTTTTTCCTGAGGAATATTGTGTAAATGTGACTGCTTGTAAGATTTAATTTGTTTTTCTATTTGTCCCACACTTAACTAGAAGGCATGAAATGTGATGTAATTAGACAGTTTAATAATGCGTTTATCCATGTACTACTAACTTCTCACAGGGATAGGGCAGGGAAAGGGAGTTGAGGAACCAGTTTAGTCATGATTCTGTTGAATCGTGTGCAAGTTAAAGGGGCCATTGGTCTACTCTTGTGTTCTTATAGGATTCCATTATGTTCAATTATTGGTGAGTAAAATGTACTTCACTGTTTCTTGTAGTAAGATTTAAATATTTATTGGGGGAAAATGTGGTATTGTGTACCGTTAACAAGTAAATTTCTCTGCTAGTATGTGTTTATCCTAAAAGTGTAACTTATTTAACAACTTTATTATGCATGTAACATGTATTATTTTAACATGCTACATTGAAATAAAATCCTACTCAATTAAAAACTGATTTGTTTTGTTGTATTTTTACAGTGTAAAATCAGTGTGTGCATTATTCAATACTTTATTCCTATTTCTTGTGTCATTCTGAGCGTTTAGCAGCAGGTTTGACTTGAACAGCCTTCCTGCCTTCTGCATCTTCTTGAATTTAGTGCAAATTCACTTTATTAAAAAAAAATGCTTTGTTTCCCTGTCCTGCGCTTCATCTCCTGTTGCCTGACCATTAGGCAAACTGAAATCCTGTTTTGAGATGGTTTGAAACCATGAAGTTGTTGAAGTGGTCACATGAGAATAGTTAGAGCCCAGCCTCTGGGTGACATCTGTTTTCAAAAAAATTGCTTTGTGCTCTTCTCAGCAGCTCATGGAATGCTATTGTAATGTAAATCAGACGTTCATGTTTAAAATCTTCACATCCACATGCATCCTAAATTAGACATTTAGATTATAGTTTTAAAGATGTGCAAATTTGCTTTCATAATTGGAAAATACAGAACTACTGAGCTTTGAAATTTTGACTTTAATTTTAAAAATCTTTCAGGGAAGGGGTTCAAAATAATGGGAAGAAAATTGTGAATTGCTGTACGAAAAATACATAAGACAATGGTTTGTGCTACGGTGGTGAACTGTGTTAAGCATTGTTTTCTGCTACTCTGCATCCCCACTTCAGCACTGTATTTTCAGCTGCTTTTCCGCAAAGGAAAGCAGCAGGAAGGTGCAGCATTTGCAGCCTCTGTTTTCTTTGGACCCTCTTTGTGGCCAGCTTTGCTTATTGTTTCTGCTTTCCTCTTCCAATGCGCTTTCAGAAAGTTAGTTGTGAGAGGTCATAGCCACAGACTGCTATCTCCTAGTTGTCAATGTCAATGCAACATCCACCATTTTTATATCACGCTTGCATCTGAATTTGTAATAGTGGTATGGATACTTAGACGATGTGAGCCAGTGGCCTGCTCACTGTCTACGAGGAGACAGAAAGGACTGCAGATGTTGGAAGCTAGAGTCAATAAATGTGGAGCTGGAAATGCACAGCAAGTCAGACAGCATCCAAGGAGCAGGGAAGTCAACATTTGGGGCCTAAACCCTTTGTCGGTACTGGGGAGAGGGAAGGATGCCCAGAAACAAATAGAGGGAGGGCTGTCTTGCTGGGGTGAGGATAGGTGAGGTGGAGATGGGTAGATGCAAGTAGGGAGTTATTGTGGTTGGACAGCGGGAAGGGCAGAGTGGATAGATGAGTGGGGAGATGGACAGGTTAGGGGTGGAGAAATTTTGAAGCCGGTGATGCAGGTAGGGGGTTATTCTGGCTGTTCAGTGGGAAGGGTGGAATAGATAGGTGAGTCAGAAGATGGACAGGTTGTGGGAGGAGAGATTTTGAAGCTGGTGAAGTTAATATTCAGGCCTTTGGGCTGTAAGCTCTCAAGGCAAAATATCAGGTGTTGTTCCTCCAGTTTACGTTTGGCCTCACTGGCAGTGGAGGAGGCCAAGGATGGACATGTCACCAAGGGAGTGGGAGATGGAGTTAAAGTGGATGGCAACTGGAAGGTCAGGTTGGTTGGTGTGTGCAGTGCAGAGTTGCCCCGCAAACGGGTCCCCAAGTCTGAGTTTGGTCTCCCAACTATAGAGACCATATCAGGAGCAACGGATACAGTCGATGAGGTTAGATGAAATGCAGGTGAATATCTGTTGGATTTGGAAGGATTGTTTGGGGCCTTGGACGCAGGTGAGAGGGGAGGTGTAGGGGCAGGTGTTCACCTGCTGTTGCAGGGAAAGGTGCCAGGTGTGGTGGACGGGTTGGTGGGGAGTGTGGAGCTGACAAAGGAATCACGGAGTGAACAGTCCCTAAGGAAGGTGGACAGGGGTTGGGAGGGAAATATCTTTTTGGTGGTGGGGTCTGATTTGAAGGTAGCGGAAATGTTGGAGAATGATGTGTTGTATTCAGAGGCTGGTGGGGTGCTATGTGAGGACTAAGGGGACTTTACCCTTGTTGGAGGGGGAAGAGGGTTTGAGGGCACAAGCATGGGAAATGGGAGGGATGCGGTCGAGAGCATCCTTAATAACAGTGGAGGGGAAACTGCTGCCTCTAAAGTAGGAGGATATTTGGGAGGTCCTAGAGTAGAATGACTCCACCTGGGAGCAGATGTGGTGGAGGCAGAGGAATTGAGTATGGGATAGCATTTTTACAGGAGGGTGGCTAAAGACCAGTAAGTCCCCTGGACTTGATGGAATTTTTACTAGGACATTAAATGAAGTAATTATAACCAGTAGTAATCTTCCAAGAAAGCTCCAATTCTGGAAAAGTCCCAGAGGATTGGAAAATTGTTAATGTAACACTTTTACTTAAAAAGAGGAGACAAAAAACCGGTGACTAATAGGCCAGTTAGTTTAACATTTGCTTTTCTGAAAATAGTAGGGCTTATTATAAAGCATATATTAGCAGAGCATTTAGAAATGAAAATGTCGGCTGACACCCTGAAAATGTGCTCACTGTGCATGTGCAAAATGTGCATGCTCAGTAATCTGGCTCATCCTGCCAATGACATCGTCTTATTCATTTATTGCTGACATTTGAGCATCACTATTTCTTTAAACAGAGTTTCACAATGAGTGCGTGCACAGAATACAGTCTGAACCTTTCAGGGGTGTCAGAAGATATGGCCTTTAGAAATATATAAAATAATCGAACAGTATGATTTCATGAAGGGCAAATTCGAATTCTTTTGAGGATGTAATAAGCAGGATGGATAAAGGGGAAGCAGTGAGTGTAATATAATTGGATTTCCTGAAGGCATTTGATAAAGTATTACATGTTTGGCTGGACCACAATTACTTGCAACACATATTAATGTCCTGGATGACAAGTGAATGTACTATTGCTTGGTTTGCGCATGACAAAAATAGGCGACAAGGTAAGTACTGAGGGTGATAATTTGCAGAAAGTTAAGAACAGGTTAAACAAGTCGCAGATGGAATACAATGTGAGATTATGTACTTTGGCCAGATGAATATTATTTAAATTCAGAGGGATTTGAGAATTAACATACATAAATCATAAAAAGTTAGCGTACAAGTTCAGCAGATTATAGGGAAAGCAGATGGACCTTTCCGCAATTATTCCAAAGGAAATGGAGTATTAAAATAGGAATGCTTTCTTGTTTTCAGCGGCAGCAGCGCGAGCCAGGGGCCGACGGGAAGGTAAGGTTTTCAGTTGTTCAGCAGCGGGAGTCCGGGAGAGAGCACGAGGGCAGCCGGGAAGGTAAACTTTCGTTATAAAAGTCTTGCCTCGCGTGACTGCGGCCTTCAGTTGTTCAGCAGAGGAGGAGTCCCAGAGTGGGCGCGAGTGGTCGGCTGGGTAACGGTTATCTTTCACCCAATATATTTGGGAAGTTTGTTATCTCTTTGTTATCTTTCAGGGAGGTCACCTAGATGCCATATCCTCTGGGAGCGGTTCGGAAGGAAAAAGCGGAGTCTGTTTGAGTATATAACGGAGTAAACTTACTGGTGCAGAGAACACTGTGAAACTAAAAAAAAACTAATTAATTTTAAATAATTAACTAGGTAGAGATGGCAGGTCAGGTGATGTGTTGTAGCTGTATGATGTGGGACCTAGCTGATCCCATTGAGAACGGCAGTGACCACATCTGCAGCAAGTATTGGCTGCTTGAGGAGCTCCGGCTCAAAATCGATGATCTGGAATCCGAACTCCAAACACTGCGGCACATCCGGGAGGGGGAGAAATACCTGGATGCTGTGTTCCAGGAGGCAGTCACACCTGGTAGATTAACTAATGTTAATTCAATCAGCGGCCAGGGACAGCAGTGTGTGACTGTGAGTGAGGCAAGTAGAGGGACCCTGCAGACAGGAACACAGCCGCAGCCCTTGACATTGTCCCACAGGTATGAGGCACTTGCTCCCTGCGTGGATGAGGAACAGGGCTGCAGGAAGGATGAGTCAACTGACCATGGCACCATGGTTCAAGAAGCCATTCAAGAGGGGGGAGCTAAAGGACAGATTGTAGTTGTAAGGGATTCCATCATCAGGGGAATAGACAGTATCCTTTACAAGCAGGATAGAGAGTCCCACATGGTGTGTTGCCTGCCTGGTGCCAGGGTGCGAGACATCTCTGACCGGCTTGAGAGGATACTAGAGCGGGAGGGGGAGGATCCAGTTGTTGTGGTCCACGTAGGTACCAATAACATAGGCAGGACGAGGAAAAGCTAGGAACAAAATTAAAAAATGGGTCTTCAAGGGTCGTAAACTCTGGATTGCTGCCTGAGCCACGTGCAAATCAGCATAGGGAGGCGAGGATCAGGGAAGTAAACACATGGCTAAAAGAGTGATGTGGGAAAGCGGGTTTCCTTTTCATGGGGCACTGGCATCAGTTCTGGGACAGGAGGGATCTATACTGCTGGGATGGACTCCACCTGAACAGGGCCAGGTCCAGTGTTCTGGCGAAAAGGGTACATAGGATGGTCAATAGAACTTTAAACTAGTAAGTAGGGGGAAGGGAGGAGTGAGTGTACAGGGGGTATAACAATAAATGGAAGGCAAAACAGCAGGTTAGCAGGTGACGAGGAAGCTTCAACTCCATTGAAAATTAGGAAAAAAGTTAAAGGAAAGGAGAACTCGAGCTGTTAGTAATGGAGGTGGTAGGACTCAAAAAGGTGCAAAAACTGGCATAAGGGCACTTTATCTGAATGCTCGGAGCATTCGAAACAAGGTGGATCAGTTGATAGCGCAATCATGGCAAATGGGTATGATTTAGTGGCCATTACAGAGACATGGTTGCAGGATGGTCATGACTGGGAGTTAAATATCCAGGGGTATCAAACTGTTCGGAAGGACAGACAGGAAGGTAAGGGAGGTGGTGTCACTCTGATTTTTAAGGATGATATCAGGGCGGTAGTGAGAGATGATATAGGTTCTACTGAACAAAAGATTGAATCCATTTGGGTGAAAATTAGGAATAGCAGGGAGAAGAAGTCACTGATAGGTGTGGTCTATAGGCCACCAAA